GGGGGGAGGGCGCGGGCCGGGAGCCTGGCGCTGGATGAGCTGGCCAGGCTGCTCAGCGTCCTCATCGAGGAGGCGGTGGAGCGGAGCAGCAACGTGAAATTCACGGGCCTCAGGAGGCAGGTGACGGCCTCGGACCTGGTGGACTCGGGCATCATCGACAAGGACACGCTGGCCGACCTCGTCCAGGGCTCCAAGACGGTGGAGGAGGTGACGGAAATGGCCTCCGTCAAGCGCTACCTGGACGGCACGGGCTGCATCGCCGGCGTGCTGGTGCCCTCCAAGGCCGACCCCGCCAAGATGGAGAAGATGAGCATCTACCAGGCCATGTGGAAGGGCATCCTGAGGCAGGGCACGGCCCTGGTGCTGCTGGAGGCGCAGGCTGCCACCGGCTTTGTCGTTGACCCGCTCGCCAACAAGAAGCTCTCCGTGGACGAGGCCGTCTCGTCCGGGCTGGTGGGCAGCGAGCTGCACGAGAAGCTCCTGTCGGCCGAGAGGGCCGTGACGGGCTACACCGACCCCTACACCGGCGACCAGATCTCCCTCTTCCAGGCCATGAAGAAGGAGCTCATCGTCAAGGAGCACGGCATCCGCCTGCTGGAGGCCCAGATCCCTACCGGCGCGGCTACTTTGACCAGGAGATGAACCAGATCCTCTCCGACCCCAGCGACGACACCAAGGGCTTCTTCGACCCCAACACCCACGAGAACCTCACCTACATGCAGCTCCTCCGCCGCTGCGTGCCCGACCCGGACACTGGTCTTTATTTCCTTAATGTTTTTAGGAAATAATTGTAAATCTTTTAGCATTTGTGCTGTCAAAGTTGAGTTGTTGGAGCATTTAGGTATTGTAAATGATTCTTTTTCTGCTGTGGTTTTTCTTCTTTTTTTACCCCTTTTCGGTGGCTGCCCTGGGCGTTGTGGCACGGCTCATCAAGCCTATCCCTTCCGCAGCCCTTCGGCAACACAGGGCCCAGCCTCAGGTGTCTCTGGTCATTTTGGTGAAAATGTTGTCATCATTTTCTGTTCCCACCTGGAAATGAAGTTATCTCTGATGTCCTGTGTCAGTGTTAGTGGGAATATTGGTTTTATTCTTGTTCTGCTCCGTTTCTAACCTATGAAGGACATTATTTTCCTCACAGGTTGGCAGGGAGTTATTAGTGCTGCTGATTTCCAAGCCTGAATTTTCCTGGGGGCCATATTTTCATGTGGTTGAGGTGTGACTGGGGTGGGATTCGTTATCTGTGGTTGCTCCGAATGCCTCGACCTGCTGTTTGCTCTGGGCTGTCCGGATCACCTACGCCTCGGCCGGGATTGGAGGGACCACCAGTTCTCAGATGCCGCGCTTTCCCGCCCCCCGATTCTCCCGCTCCCCATGGATTCTCTGCAGGGAGCTGCGCTGCGGGAACCACGCAAGGGCTGGGAGCCCCTGGCGTTTGTCCCCGTGCCACATTTCTAGATTCTCCCCACCCACAGTCAGCACCCACGGCCCCGGTGCATTCCTCTGCTCCCTGTGCTGTCCTGCGTCCTGAGCTGTCGCAGCCCACGTGCCGCGCTCCCAGAGCGGGGGCAGCCCCAGAACCACTCCGCTGTAGAGTTCAGAGCTGAATAGTTCTACCACTGCTGGACAGAATGAAACTTATCTCCTTCAATGCATTGCCTTGGGCCCTGTGCCTTGACCAACCTGTGTCCTGTAGAATGGGTTTCTGCCACGGCTTGTAGAGCTGGAAGCAAGCGCAGACTGGCTGTGGGACTCCTCGCTGTAACCTGCTTGTAGCCTGGAGGGTTGCATGGGCTCGAAAGGTGCTGGGATAAATTAATGGGAGAGAAGTCCACCGAGGGTCATTAAATGCAAAGACGGAGGTGGAAAATGGGATCAGGGAGGTGTCAGCACTGGCTTGCTCTGTTCTTATGTACTGGGGGGAGGGTCTGATACAGGACAGAGCTGGCTGAGACTGCGGTGCCATCTCCAGAGGGCCCTGATGATTCTGGCTCCCATGTCAACCAAGAGGCTTCATTCCCATCTTCTGGGCTCCTGCTCTTTCCTGGAGATGGACTAGAAGGTGGTTCAGCCAAGTCCAGGGTGAATGGCCAAGCTGTGCCCTTCACACACTCCAGCCTTGTGCCACCTTGGCCCCTCGCTCCCAGACGGACCTGGGGGGGGCTGGAGCATGTCCAGAGAAGGGCAGCGGAGCTGGGGAGGGGTCTGGAGCCCCAGGCTGCTGGGGAGCGGCTGGGGGAGCTGGGGGGGTTCAGCCTGGAGCAGAGGAGGCTGAGGGGAGCCCTCATCGCTGCCTACAACTGCCTGAGAGGAGGGGGGAGCCGGGGGGGTCGGGCTCTGCTCCCAGGGAAGGGGCGATGGGACGAGGGGCACCGGCCTCAAGTTGTGCCAGGGCAGGGTGAGGTTGGGCATGGGGAACAATTCCTTCCCCTTGGGGCTGTCAGGGGCTGGAAGGGGCTGCCCAGGGAAGGGGTCGAGTCCCCAGCCCTGGGGGGATTTAACAGCCGGGCAGCTGTGGCGCTTGGGGACAGGGTTTGGGGGTGGGACGTTAGGGGTAGGGGAACGGTTGGGCTTGGGGATCTCAAAGGTCTGTTCCAACCCAAATAATTCTATCTCCAGACCTCAGAGCCCTGCGTCCTACCACGATATGAGGGGTCTCAGCTACCGGCTGCTGCACGAGACAGAGCGCCCAGCGGGGTGGGCTCTTGTCCTGCTCCATCTCCGCTATTCCTGTATTCCTGCCCCCGCCCCTTGCCCTCCAACGCTCTCCTCCTAGTCTCTCGTTCCACATCTTCCAACCTCCACCACACTTTTCACCTGATCTCCAAGTGTCCCATTTCCCGGCCTTCCTGGTCATTGGCTTGTGCCTTGCTGGCAAAGCCGCGAGACCCGTGGGCCAGGCAGACAGGCAGATCCTGAGCAGGGACACAGAAGGGGCACAAAACCGTAGGCGACGTGGAGAAGGCAAGCGGGGAATGAGCATTTGCTGTTTTCCATAGAACTAAGTTGTGGGGAAATAGCCAGGAGGATTCCTCTCACAGTTAAACTGTGGTGGTTGCTGCCAGGATGTCACGGAGGAAAGGCTGGAAATGTTCAAAGGAAAGAAAAGGCAAGAAAAAGTGTGCCCGCAGTGAGGGAGGCGGCAGTGGGGCCCGGAGGGAGCTGAGCGTGGGGCCGCTTGGCACCTGCAGACGCGGCCTGGGAACGCGGCGAACAGCGAAGGAGCAGATGGCGTTAAATTACTCAGCTTTGCAGAGAGAAGTGGCGGCTGCAAAACTGCGGGAAGAGCAAGCAACGTGCAGCGCCCGGAGCAAGACCGGCAAGCCATGGCCAGGGCAGGAAGAAGGCACAGAGAGGGAGCAGCTCCCCCGGTGCCCAGGTTCCCAGCAGCAGCAGCAGTAAGGGATCATTCGAGGCGCGCTCGGCAGCAGCCAGATGATATCGAGTGTTCGGGTCAGGGAGGGCGCGCGCCTGTGCCAGGACAACGCACACTGCGTCCATCCAGAGGCACCACGTAACCTCCTGCGGTGGGACCAGGCTCCTCGGCGGGGCTGCAACCAGGATCTCGGTGGCGGCCCGCCTCGGGGGCGGGGCGGCGGGGGCAGAGGGAGGCGGCACGGGTGGCGAGCGCCTGCTCCTGCGGGGTGCCTGGCCCAAGGAGCCATCCACAAGAACAAACGGGGACAAACCTGACGGACAAACAGCATGGGAGGCGGTGGCGGGAGCAAACCTGGCTGGTCGCACCATGCGGCAGGAGGTGCAGAGCACGAGGACGTTGGTTTTTCCTGTTGGGACGGTAGGGAACTGGGAAAGGCAAACACAGAGCCATAAAACCTGAGTGATCGGTGTTAATGGAGGCGTCAACCAGAGGCAAACCTGGTCAGTGGCGGGGGTAGGTGGGGGGTGG